TGATGGCAGATAAAAAGGCATCGACACCTACTGCAGCAGGTGTTCAAAGGTTTTGTGATTACTTTAGATGTCCCGGACACCAGTTCTTTTAGTGTTTGACTTGGGGCTATGGTGAAGAGGGAGCCCTGGTGGCACAGTGGTTAAGAGCTCGGCTGATAACCAAAAGTTGGCAGTTTGAATCCACCAGCTGCTCCTTGGAAACCCTATGGGCAGTTCTACTCTATCCTATAGGGTCACTATGAGTCAGAATTGACTTGACGGCAATGGGTTTTATGGCGAAGAGAATTGGTTTTCCACCTCTCTTTTTCTCTCCCTCTCCCCCTTCACTCTCAGCCCTTTCTGTCTAAAGTTAAACTTTATTTTTTTGTATTTATTTCTGTGGAGGAAAATTAAAAGTCTAAAGATGAAAATAAGAATCTCCCCAAATTCTAACACATTAAGATAATCACTGTTTAACATTTCAGCATATTTTCTTTAAATCTTTGTGAAAGCATTAAGTCAAGATCATGCAGTAAATTAAATAAAAGCAGTCATTTTACTGCTTTTGCTTAACATTTTGAATTTATTAAATCTTTGACTATATAAAATTTTATTATGTGAGTGAACTATAATTTATTTACTTACTACCATTCCCTTAACTTTGGGCTTTCAGTTTTTCCAAAATTTTCACTTTTATATAAAAATATACTATAGTAATATATTTTGCATAAAAATATTTCTCCACCTTTTAGATTATCTCCTTAGAATAAATTCCTAAAAATGGAATTACTGAGGTAGAAATACATGATCATTTTAAGGCCCTTGATAAACATTGCAAATTGCATTCTTGACAAGCTGTGCAACTGAACTTTCACCATTTCTTTGGCATCACCAGTGCCCATTTTGCTATACTATCATCAGGGTAAGGAGCCCTGGTGGTGCAGTGGTTAAAGCAATTGACTGCTAACCGAAAGGTCAGTGGTTCAGTAGACTGGTCTCTATAAAATTAATTCCTCAGTTCTCTTCAGAGGAGGCAATCACGGAAACAAATTTCTTATATTTGCTTCCATTGTTGTTGTTGTTGTTATGTGCTGTGAAGTTGGTTCTGACTCATAGCGACCCTATGTACAGCAGAACAAAACACTGCCTTGTCCTGTGCCATCCTCACAGTTGTTATGTTTGAGCCCATTGTTGCAGCCACTATGTCAATCCATCTCATCGAGGGTCTTCCTCTTTTTCACTGACGCCCTACTTTACCAGGCATAATGTTCTTCTCCAGGAACTGGTCCCTTCTGATAACATGTCCAAAGTGCCTGAGATGAAGTCTCGCCATCCTTGTTTCTAAGGAGTATTCTGGCTGTACTTCTTCCAAAACAGATTTGTTCATTCTTCTGGCAGTCCATGGTATACCAACACCACAATTCAAAGGCATCAATTCTTCAGTCTTCCTTATTCATTGTCCTGCTTTTGCATGCATATGAGATGATTGGAAACATCATGGCTTGGGTCAGGCTCACTTCAGTCCTTAAAGTGACATCTCTGCTTTTTAACACTTTAAAGAGGTCTTTTGCAGGAGATTTGCCCAAAGCCATACGTCATCTGATTTCTTGACTGCTGCTTCCATGAGTATTGATTGTGGATCCAACTAAAATGAAATCCTTGACAACCTCAATCTTTTCTCTGTTTACCATGATGTTGCTTATTGGTCCAGTTGTGAGGATTTTTGTTTATTTTATGTTGAGGTATAATCCCTACTGAAGGCTGTGGTCTTTGATCTTCATCAGTAAGTGCTTCAAGTCCTCTTCACTTACAGCAAGTAATGTTGTGTCATCAGCATGTCGCAGGTTGTTAATGAGCCTTCTTCCAATCCTGATGCCAAGTTCTTCTTCGTATAGTCCAGCTTCTTGGATTATTTGCTTAGCACACAGATTGAAGTAAGTATAGTGGAAGGATACAACCCTGATGCATACCTTTCTCGACTTTAAACCATGCAGTATCTCCTTGTTCTGTTCGAACGACTGCCTCTTGGTCTATGTACAGGTTCCTCATGAGCACAATTAAGTGTTCTGGAATTCCCACTCTTTGCAATGTTATTCACAGTTTGTTATGATCGACACGGTCAAATGCCTTTGCACAGTCCATAAAACACAGGTAAACATCTTTCTGGTATTCTCTGCTATCAGCCAAGATCTATCTGACATCAGCAATGATATCCCTTCCATAGATACACACTAGGTGTTTATGATGTTTTTTAATGTGTGGAAATTTTTTAGTTTTACAAAGACAAATTCATTATACAGTCAAATCTGTTAATACAAGATACCACTCTTTTTGTTTGCCTCTATCCTTTATATTGGTTGGTTAATGTGATCATTTTGGTCAAAGAAGAACCATATTAATCTTGAAAACTGATGGAAGTAAGCCTTATAGACTCTGTTTGCCCAATCCATTTCACACTTCTCAATGGAGGCTGTGGGATTATCCACATACAATGTTAGCCTTTGGTTTTCCAAACAGAATAGAAACAATCAGCTTGGTCTCTTCTTAGGGAAGGGCATCAGAAACAATGTCTGTATACCTCTGTTTAGAGGTGTGGAAAGTAATGATGATTCTACCCATTGCCTTCAGGGAATATAGCATTTCAAGTAAGGGAGATGTATGTGGGTGGGATAAATCATAATGAATCAAAAGGGTGGTATAGGCTAGGTATGAATAGACAATAAGGTTTCAGACTCCTTTCTTTAAACTATACCAATTAACAACCCCTACTTACCAAAGAATGCAAGCTCTCTCAAATGCCCTCCTTACTGTCTGTTATACTAAATTCCACTGTGACATGATCTGCTATTATACAGAGGATTGCATATATAGAAACCTGCCAAACTGGAGGAGTGTTGTTTTCTCTTTGTTCATTCTTCTTAAAACATTCTTTTAAGTTATTTTGACATTTAGCTACTTAAAAGTAGAAACCTGAACAAAGTAATTTAATGCTGGATCTATATGATGTCAGGATTTGGATATAACAAGTTAAAAAGCTATTACCCAAAAGTTCAAAAAAAAAAAAAAACTGCATAATAATGTATTCCAGAATGTGTGGGCAAATAATTAAAATTGTTCAAAAAAAATCATACCGTAAAGATCAGATATTCTGATTTTTAAAAAATAAAAATTCTACTAGTTAGTGGAACTAGTTTATATTTTATTAAAATTTCTCAAAAAAAAAAAAATCTAAACCCTTCCTCGTGCTTACCTGGAAAAATAGTAAATTGCTTTATCTGGTAAATATAAATTTAAGTCAAAGAAGCAGAGTCTGAAGTGAGGAAGAAAATTTGGGGGAGGAACTCATAACTTCTCTTCTGTCTTAGAAGGTAATGTTGAAAGAGTTCTCTTCCTGCCTGGGGGTAGGAGTAGGAGATGGGTGGAAATAGGGGTCACAATTGGGGTCTCTCTAATGATGAAATAAAAGCAGTGAATGTTTTTGGGTCTCCATTTCTTTGGCATCAAAAAGTGGGGAAGTGGGTTTGATTTTTAAATTATGTGATCTGTGACTTGCATTCATTACGTTCTTCCCTTCCTCATAATGAGATAGGAACAGGAACCCGGTTTGATTCATACACATTTTTCGCTGTTGCTAACAGTTGTTTACTTTGGGACAGCTGGATTAAGGGCATAAAGGGAAAGAGAAGGTTTTTCCCCGTGGAGTAACAATTAGAGGGACTTTGGTGGAAAGCAAAGACAAAACCTCAAGAGCAAACTATAAACTGTAGGGAGTAGCTGTTAACATAAATTTAGAGGCTGTGTGGGAGGGGTTCATGCTTTTCAAAGCTGATTATAGTAATAAAAGAGGGAAAGGGCTGGAAGAGAATATTAAGTGGGAAGGGTACCAAGTGTGTTTTTCTGCCAGTAAGGTATAACACATAAAAACCCATTGCTATTGAGTCAGTTCTAACTCATAGTGACCCTATAGGACAGAGTAGCCCCATAGGGTTTCCAAGATTGCAAACTGCCATATCTTTCTCCTGCGGAGCGACTGGTGGGTTTGAACCTTAGACCTTTTGTTTAGCAGCTGAGTGCTTAACCACTGTGCCACCAGGACTCCTTGTAACACATAAACCTGTTGCCATCGAGTTGATTCTGACTCATAGTGACCCTATAGGACAGAGTAGAACTGCCCCATAGGGTTTCCAAAGAGTGGCTGGTAGATTTGAACTGTCATCCTCTTGGTTAGCAACCAAACACTTAACCACTGTGCCACCAGGGCCTCTGTAACACATAAGAGATAGTCAAATATTCCCGGAAAGAATTCTAGGCAGGAGAACAAAAATGGAAGCCTTCTTGCTTTTAAACTGTACAGAACATAGAAGTTCATCTTTGAAAGTTTTTCAAAGAATCATAAGTTTTAGGCAAGATATTTTAAGATAAGATTTTATTATCTGATCTCCTCTCCTATTACTCTTTCTTGACTCAACTACTCTCTCGATACAAGGGTCTCTTTGCTATTCTCAAATCACCAAGAAAGCTTCATCTTTGGGCTTTGTCACTGGGTAGTCTCTCTCATGTAACACCCTTCCCCAGATATTCTTGTGGGTAATTCCCTGTCCTTCAAGTCTGTGTTCAAAAGTCACCTTCTCAACAAGGCTTACCCTACTAGATACAGCAACCAACCTTCTTCTCCCACCTCAGCTGACTACCCATTCTCTGACAAGTCTCCCGATCCTCTTTGTCCTGCTCTACTCTTTTTTCCCCTAGCACTTGTCACTTTCTGGGGTTCCTGAGTAGTGTAAATGGTTAATGCACTTGGCTGCTAAGGGAAAGTTTGGCGTTTGAGCCTACCAAGAGGCTCCTCAGAAGAGAGGCCTGGTGACTACTCCCAAAAAATCAGCCATTGAAAAGCCTGTGAAGCACAGCTCTACTCTGACACACGTGGAGTTGCCATGAACTGACTCGAAGGCAACTGGTTTTATCACCTTCTAATATACAATACATTTTACTTATTTTCAATATTTATTATTTACTGTTACCTTCTCATCATACATCTTCTACTACCAGCTACAGTTCCAAGCTCCAAGAGGAGAAAGATTGTTCATGAACGTATCCAAAACACCTAGCACAGTGCCTGTCAAGTAAAAGGTACAAAAAGCACTCAATTAGTATTTGTTAAATGAGTAAGTGAAGGTTTATGTAACCCACATGATCTGGGCAGTACCTATCAACTAAGGAAGGTAACGGAGAGATTTTCATATATATCTGCTTTTGCTGTAGCTGGGGGGTACAGAAACAGGAAGTCAAATAGACTAAGGGTTTGTTTTGTTTCCCAGGAGAAAACTACCTAGAAACTGGTCTTTTTATTACACACGGTTTTCTAAGATTGATAACAATAACTTGCATTTGGATAATGCTTGAAGATTCTCAGAGGTCTGTGTTGTATGTTAGCCCACTTTCTCTTTATAGTACCCCTGTTATGTTTTATAATAATGCCAAGACAAGGAACTAATCTCTGCTTTACAAACTAGGAAGCCAAAATCAGAGAGGCAAAAACTTGCCCAAAGTCTCCCATTCAGCAAATGTGGCTTCACATTTTAGAAGGGTACACAGGCTTTCTGATTCCACGAGCTCTCTCATCACCCAGAGAAGGCAGAAGGACTACATCACTGAGGGGACAGATGGCAGGGAAGCCAGAGTGTGATGGCTACCTATAGAAAGAGATCAGAGGACAAGGAGATAGATGGCTAAAGACCAATGGGGCATTTCCATTAACAATGACATTTATTGTTCAATATTCAAAATGTATTTTAAAAACTTAAAAAGTATCTAAAATATATTTTTACAGCACTCATTTGTGCCTTAAAGGTCATGAAATTTTAGGCTTTGTAAGGACATTTATTATTATATTCTCTATTTCATATCATGTAAGTATAACCCATTTGGAAAATTAAGGGCAATGCTCTGAAATCTTGTCATTATTTCCCAATAGTTCTCAGCATTCTAGCTATGACTCTGAATATTAGGTAGCAGTTTTTGCTCTTTGTATCAAGTATTTATCAGATATTTTATTTCTGGGAGACACAGCTGTTAACTATGCTTTTACTATGCCTTTAAGTGCCAGGCTTCAATCATTTAGCAATTTCATTTCTATGTTTTCCCCTAGCAGCTGTTCTATTGATTGCCTAGAATTTTTCCCTTTTGTGTTTAAAATTAAAACAGAAATTGTGAAAGAAAAAGATTGTATGCAAAAAAGGATGGTGGAATCGTAAGAATATAAGTGCTTAGCTCCAAGAGACTCAGATGTATATGCCTTACAAACATATACACACCCTTGGAATGCACATATGCACATGTCCATACTTATTAATTCATATTTGCTTTATTGAAATAATTCTGGAAAAGTCTCCATTACAGTAAGGGCATATACGTGCTGGTTACTCAGCTAAATGCTAAAGCACAGCTTCATAAAAAGTGAATATATTGTCATTATTTTTGTTTTACAGCCGAGGAAACTGAAACATATGGAAATTAAACAACTGATCAAAAGCCCACAGCTAGTAAGTTGCAGAGATGACATTGGAATCTAGTTTTTTCCTCATTTCAAAAAGCTTGTCTTCTTTTCCCCTTGTCTCATTTTTCCTGAAATATTTTAGATGTATAAAAACTGTACAGAGAAAATGAAATTCTATGAGCCCATCACTCTGTTTAAGAAATAGAACGTTATAAATATAGTTGGATCTCTAATTATATCTTCCCAAACCTATTTTTTCTCCCCTCTTGAGTCCTGAATTTGTGTTCATCGTTTGCATTTATGTCTTTATATGTTCATTACATATAGATGTCTCTAAGCAATATTTAGTGTTATTTGATGTTTTAAAATTTTATATACTGTTTTTTTTTGTGTGTAAATTTGTATTTCCACTCAACGTTATTTTCATTACTATAGAATATTCCTTTGTCTGAATATAGCACAACTTTTGACCCATCTCGTTGATAGATGTTTAGCAGCTACTTTTTTTTCTGACCAATTCCTTGTGTTATGGTAATTAGCATCTGTTTTAATTTTTGACAGTTGGATAGCAGTAATATGGTTGCTTATTGTGTGTGTGTGTATTTTTTTTTTTTCATTTTTGATTTATTTTAAATACATTGGTTTATTTTAAGGAATTTACAGTGACTATGAGGGCCGGCAAGCCACAAATCCGCATGTCACACAACAGGATGGAAACTCTGACAGTCTTCGATCTGAAGTTGGTAGGCCAGGAGGCAGGCTGGAAATTCCAACAGTATGCCTATTTACTGTCTTGAGGCAGAATCTACCTTTCTCGGGAAACCAGTTTTTACCCTTAAGTCCTTCAACTAATTAGATAAGGGTCATCCACTTTTGCAGATTCTGGTTTCAAGATTCTAGTACATCTGCCATTTGTGACGCCACCACAAAAATGGCATCACACTATTTTAGAACAGACATTCTTCTCAAAGACTTTGGAAGTATAGCTATTACTGCTATGCCCCTAGGTATTGTATGAGTCAGGTGTTTGAGTAGCTATTACTGACAAACTTAGTCATTTTCAGATTTATCTGAAGTAGATGAAAAGAAAAATTAGATGCATGATATGTATAATTAGTTATGTCACTTCTTTATAAATCAGTAGAATCAAATATATAGGTAAAACAATAAATAAAAATACTTTTTAAAAACCTGAATAAGGACATATGAAAATATTGTACAGCTAAGTTATCTTTTACTTTAACCGATTTCTTAAATCAATATTTTTGACACTCCTTGTGTCTCTCATGAGTGTCAGATACCTCAGATCCCGGAGTGTCAGTTTCCTGCTCACTCTGATTTCTTTTTTACTTGGTTAAGTGTACATTATTTTAATTGGGCTAGAAATGCTTATTTCTGTAAAAAGACTACAGATACACTGCTCATACTCCCTGGTACTACTGTAATTTTTCTTTATGTTTTCTATTGGTTTACAAAACCAGAACACTGGAGAGATAGAGTAAGTACATGTGGCTTTACTTATATTTTGGCAAAACGTTATTTTTCCAGGTGTCTTCCAAGCCTAATCATGACACCATTCTATCTGTTAGCAGTGGAGCTGAATCTTCAACACTAGAACTTCTAAAGGTATTTCACTTTACAGAGTGCTGGAGAAGGAAGTTATTGTTGTTAGGTGCCTTGAGTTGGTTCTGATTCATAACAACCCTATGTGAAACAGGAAGAAACACTGCCCGGTCCAGCGCCATTCTCACAATTGTCATTATGCTTGAGCGCATTGTTGCAGCCACTGTGTCAATCCATCTCATTGAGAGTCTTCCTCTTTTTCACTGATCCTCTACTTTAAGAAAAATGATGTCCTTCTCCAGGGACTAGTCCCTTCTGATAACATGTCCAAAGTACATGAGACAAAGTCTCCCATCCTCCCTTCTAAGGACCATTCTGGCTGTACGTTTTCCAAGACAAATTTGTTTGTTCTCCTGGCAGTCCATGGTATATTCAATATTCTTTGTCAACACCACAATTCAAAGGAAACAGTTCTTCTTCAGTCTTCCTTATTCATTGTCCAGTTTTCACATGCATATGAGGCAATTAAAAATAGCATGGCTTGGAGTCAGGCACACCTTAGTCGTCAAGGTGACATCTTTGCTTTTTAAGATTTTAAAGAGGTCTTTTGCAGCAGATTTGCACAATGCAATATGTCGTTTGATTTCTTGACTGCTGCTTCCATGGGTATTGATTATCTAAGTAAAATGAAATCCTTGACAACTTCAAACAATATTTTCTCTATTTATCATGGTCTTGCTTATCGATCTAGCTGTGAGGATTTTTGTTTTCTTTATGGTGAGGTGTAATCCATATTGAAGGCTGTAGTCTTTGATCTTCATCAGTAAGTGTTTCAAGTCTTCTTTGCTTTCAGCAAGCAAGGTTGTTTCATGTGCATATCATTGGTTGTTAATGAATCTTCCTCCCATTCTGATGTTGCATTCTTCTTTATATAGTCCAGCTTCTTGATCTGTTCCAACAACTGCCTCTAGGTCTACAGGTTCCTCATGGGCACAATTAAGTGATCTGGAATTCCCATTCTTCACAACGTTATCCATAATTTGTTCTGATCCACACAGTCGAATGCCTTTGGGCAGTCAATAAAACACAGATAAACATCTTTCTGGTATTCTCTACTTTCACCCAAGATCCATCTGACATCAGCAATGATATCCCTCATTCTATGTCCTCTTCTGATTCCTGCTTGAATTTCTGGCAGTTCCTTGTTAATATACTGCTGCAACCATTTTTGAATTATCTCCAGCATAATTTTACTTGTGTATGATATTAATGATATTGTTCAATAATTTTTGCATTCCGTTGGATCACTTTTCTTTGGAATGGGCAGGAATATGGATCTCTTCCAGTTGATGGGCCAGGTAGCTGTCTTCCAAATTTCTTGGCATACAAAAATAGCACTTCCAGCATTACATTGTTTGTTGAAACATCTCAATTGGTATTCAGTCAATTCCTGGAGCCTTGTTTTTTACTAATGCCTTGGGTGAAGCTTGGACTTTTCCTTCACTACCGACTGTTCTTGATCATATGCTACCTCCTGAAATGGTTGAATGTTGACCAATTCTTTTTGGTACAGTGATTTTGTATTTCTTCAATCTTCTTTTGGTCCTCCCTGCCTTGTTCAATATTTTCCCCATAGAATCCTTCAGTATTGCAACTCGAGGCTTGAATTTTTTCTTCAGTTCTTTCAGCTTGAGAAATGTTGGGCATGTTCTTTCCTTTTGGTTTCTAACTTCAGGTCTTTGCACATTTCAATATAATAATTTACTTTATCTTCTTGAGCTGCCCTTTGAAATCTTCTGTTCAGCTCTTTTACTTTATTATTTCTTCTTTTACTTTCGCTGCTCTACATTCAAAGGCAAGTTTCAGAGTCTCTTCTGACATCGATTTTTATTTCTTCTTTCTTTACTGTGTTTTAAATGACCTTTTGCTTTCTTCATGTATGATGTCCTTGATGTCATTCCACAACTCGTCTGGTCTTCAGTCATTAGTGTTCAATGTGTCAAATCTGTTCTTGAGATGGTCTCTAAATGCAGGTGGAATATACTCAAGGTCATACT